TATATTTCACGCACGTGCAATGCACGTGCACATTTCTACTATATATGTATATATATATATTGGTTTTAGATTAACAAACAACTTCAACTAAAAGGAAATAACAAAATAACTAAATAACAGGTTATGAAAAAAAAAAAAATAGCAATTTCCCAGCAGAAAGTAACCATCCCAGTGTACAGTAAGCAACATGAGGATGTTTTTGTAAGGATTGAAAGAATATTAACAGATTGAAATATAGAACTATAAATAAAAAATAAAAAAAAATCCTAAATTAAAAAGAAATATACCAATAAAACATAATAAAAAATTATTAGAATTCCAATAATAATTCATTCTTTAATCAACTTTTTATTCAACAAATAGTAGCAAACTTCAAAACTTGAGTGTTCCATTAATATATCAACTATTACTCTAGCTTGGCCTCTGGGAGAAAAGAGAGCTGTGAGAAAAATAATAGCAATAACAGTGGAAGTATTAGCTATAACCACCATGATGCCTTATGGTAAAAGGAAGCATAATAGGAGGAGAACAACCTGGAAGGCCAGGTTATAGTACATAAACCAACCATTATCATACATTTTTTGAAGAATAACTCTCACAGATCTAGCCTTCAACACCAGAACATCAGTCATGGCTTTGAAGAAGATATAGAGGCCCCAAATAACACCTCCAGCTATAACAGTGGTTGATGAAGCAATAACCATCTTCAAAAGACCAAGAAGATGTTCCTCATCATATGAGGAAAGATAATTCGCACAAATCCCTACAGTAGCTGCAAAAAGAACCATGGTAATATAGAAGAAAATCACGAACCAGTTTGTGTTAGAGTGCTTCTTAAGTTCATCATAGTGCTTTATTTGAGATAGGGAATCTTCAGTTGAGGTGGAGTTATGTAGAGATCCTTATTCAAGGTAGAGCTATGGAGAAGCACGTGAAGATTGAATTTTGAGCCAAGGTGGAGATTGTTGGGTTTGTGGCTCAAAATTTGCGTATAGAAAATTAGTTTCTTTTTTTATTTTGGAAGCTGCGAGAAATAGTTTCCTAATTTGTTTTGGAATCTAGAAGACTTAGGGAAAGAGGCAAAAGATTTGGGAAATAAGTTATATCTATTATTTTAGAGTTGAAGATGGATATGGTAACTCCTTGTAGGTAAGTTGTACCTTGTCCAACAAGGAATTGGATTTGAGAAATACTTGTCCAATAAGGAATTGAGTTTTGAAGACTCTATAAATAGAGATGGGTATGAGGGGTTTAGAGAGGAGAGAAGAAAGAAAAGATGTAAGGGGTTTAAGGGTGAGTGTTGTAAGGAGAGGGGAGCGTATATGTAATTCCAGAGTGTATACATGTAACTTCAAAATAGATGATGAGTGAGTGAGTGGGGTTTTAACATGTGGTTGTATATCTCTTCATTGATTCATAATAGAGAAATCTCTCTCATGGATGTAACCCTAAAGTTGGGTGAACCATGTAAAATATTGTGTTGTGCATGAATGTGTATGATTGTTATCTTCATATATGCTTGTGTTGATGTGATGTGATGATGATTCCGCTGTGTGTGACGAAGGAGGGATTTAACTCTCAACAACAGCCGACCATTAAATGGGTTGGAAGGAGTTAATTATCCCCAACAACTGGTATCAGAGCCGATGGTGGGTCAGAGCCTGTGATTGGTCCTGAAGATCAATAGAAGAAGATTGTTACGAAGTTTGTCAGAGTAGAGGATGATAGTGAGGTGCTATGGAGATTCAATCAAAGTTGATGATGACACGAAGATATGTAGAAGGTGATAGAGGTGAAGCCCACGATGAACAAGTTTTAAGGACAAGTTAAGAGTGAGTGCTAGTTCTCAAGATGGGGCAAGGGGTGTGAAGAATGAAGAAGTTTGCTTTAAGCCCGATAAAAAAGCAAAGGGGAATATGAAGAGTGGAAAGGAGAGGTTTGTTGCTTTGTGCCAGAAAAGCAATTGATGAAGACTAGTTAAAAATTGGTAGATTGCCATGCATGAGCAATTGAACACCAATGAGATGGATAGAGAAGATAGAAGGAAAAAAGAAGAATGATGAAATTTGAGAAAAAATGGAGATTGTTAGAGTGTTTCTTAAGTTCATCATAGTGCTTTATTTGAGGTGGAGAAATCTTCAGTTGAGGTGGAGTTATGCAGAGATCCTTGTTCAAGGTGGAGCTATGGAGAAGCACGTGAAGATTGAATTTTGAGCCAAGGTGGAGATTGTTGGGTTTGTGGCTCAAAATTTGTGTGCAGAAAATTAGTTTCCTTTTTTATTTTGGAAGCTACGAGAAATAGTTTCCTAATTTGTTTTGGAATCCAGAAGACTTAGGGAAAAAGGCTAAAGATTTGGGAAAGAAGTTATATCTATTATTTTAGAGTTGAAGATAGATATGGTAACTCCTTGTAGGTAAATTATTCATTGTCCAACAAGACTTTGGATTTGAGGAATACTTGTCCAATAAGGAATTGAGTTTTGAAGACTCTATAAATAGAGATGGGTATGAGGGGTTTAGAGAGAGAGAAGAGAGAAAAGATGTAAGGTGTTTAAGGGTGAGTGTTGTGAGGAGAGGGGAGTGTATATATAATTCTCGAGTGTATACATATAACCTCAAAATAGATGATGATTGAGTGAATGGGGTTTCAACATGTGGTTGTATATTATTTTCCTTGATTTATAATAGAGAAATCTCCCTCTCCCATGGACGTAATCCTAGAGTTGGGTGAACCATGTAAAATATTGTGTTGTGCGTGGATGTGTATGATTGTTATCTCTGTATATGCTTGTGTTGATGTGATGTGATGATGGTTCGGCTGTGTGTGATGAAGGAAGGATTTAACTCTCAACAACAGTCGACCATTAAGTGGGTTGGAGTGAGTTAATTATCCCCAACAATTTGTAGAAGGAAAAACTCCATTAGGAAGTGGGGGATTGAAGATCAAGATCGAAATAGACTCAAAAAAAAAAAAATTCACTGTCCTCACTAAGACTCACTCTCTATCTATCTCTTTCTCTTTCTACCTTTTCTATGGTTTACGTGCTGCCGGGGGAGAAGGAGAAGGAGAGGAGAAGGAGGATAAGATGGATGGTTACAACTTTTCTGTCCCAGCCAGCTGTCCATAAGTCAGGGAAAAGGCTTGTAAATTAATCTATTTTTGCTGTAAAAAACAGTAGGCAGTGTCCATTTATTTAAATGCATAATCATAAAATGTATTTTACTTTTTTTGTGGTCAAGATCAACATTTTTTTACCTTTTTTTAGTAAATAAGATAATTATTTGTTGAACAATGTCAACTATAGTGTATATCATTACAATAAGGTTAGTACCTATACTATTGATATATTTTTGTCACATTGTACATTAATGCAATAAATGTTAAGTTAATTCTAGCTGAAAATAATTTAGAAATATATATATATTTTTATTTTTCATAGAACACGTGTATGGGCCCACAAACACAAGTACCATTCAAAATAATTTAAAAGCTTATTAATAAATGACCTTTTATACAAATATATATTAGGCATGATCGATCTCCTGGAGCTTTTGCTATTTTGGGTTGTTATGGCCATGGCCTATCTTGGGTTGCCTACATAGGCTTATTTGCCTTATTCTTGGGCCCTATCTTGGGTTCCCTACATAGGCTTTTTTGCCTTATTCTTGGGCTGTTCTGGCCCAAGAACTCTTTTGTAAATTTTAATTATTAATACATATTGCTTAATCTTTCCAAAAAAAAAAAAATCCGTTGAAACAAATTTCAGACATGAACCAATTTGGTTGCGGAAATTTTGGTTTTGACTTTCTTGGTACAACCCTTAAAAAGTCAAAATGTAACTTAACATGGCGCTATGGCCCACCAAGACACTTATCCACAAACATCAAATAAATAAATAAACATCTTTTTCACTATATATATATATATATATATATATATTGAGTGAAACATTGTTGAAGAGACGCAATTGGATACATATATAAGCGAAGTTTTGTGATTGAATGCCTTTTTGAGAGAGACGTAATTGGAGTTGTGAATAGACAGTTATTCATAATTAAAGACTTAACGAGGAACGTATCAACCATTACATAATAATATTTTTAATTTAATTAAAACGATGAGAAAATGTATTTAAAAAATAAAAATTCTACACACTTTATAAGTAGTGTAAATATTTTTGAACTATTTTCTTGTGAGCTCCTAAGCGCATGATCTGCAGGAGTACTTCTTTTGTTCATAAATCATATGGACTGCTACATCCAAAATAAATCTTAGGATATCTTCTACAATGTATTTTCTAGGAGACCATGTGATGTGGGCATGTATATTATTATTGTCACTTTATAGTCTTTATAAGATATTTCCTGAGTCATAAAAGCTGGCCACTTTTATTAATTAATTAGTTTTCTACTGTAAAAATTAAATTAAAAAATAATAGCACAATTAATAAATTGTTGTAGATAGATTCTTATAATAATAAAATGGATTTCATGATCATTGAAACCTGTCGTTGTACCGATGTATGATGCAAAATGTTCTACATCATGATATTATGGGTAAATAATTGTATTTTTTCTTTTTCTTTTTTTTTTTTTTTTTTTTGTTTTTTAATGCATTTGGCATAGGCTGGAAGTTCACGTGTTCATTGAGATATAACAACTGATAGCTTGTGGTTGGCAGCTACTTTTTTTTAATTTTATTTTAACTATTTTAGCTGAGACACAGCAGAAATTCAACCCTTTTATTATTATTATTATCCTGACAAACTACGGGAAAGGGGAACTCAAACATAGGCAGATTTGCTCGGGTACCAACTAGGCCACTAGATAATGCCCAAATTCAACCCATTCACACGAGCAGCAAAACGATTGGATGGGATACCTTTGGAGTACCAGCCTCATCAGTTAATCCCTGTGTGTCCAAAGCCAAACTCAGCATTGGATTTGGAAATTATTCAGCACATGGAGTAATCTCAAATTCTGGAATTCCAAGAGAAAACTGAAAGAAAAATACTTGTGCCCAGTTTCGTAACCCTTTGAAATGAGAAACTTAACTGTAGTATACTACATTGAGCTTTCCGGAATACTTTTCCAGAGGCAATTTGTAAGAGTAGCATGAAATTCATAACCTTTCAACTGAACAAACATTAACTAACCAATATACGAAAAATAAACAACATCAAAGCTTCTATCACACCGTGCTTTTGAGGTTTGGAGAAGCGGTACCTCTATGCCAAAAGAATAAAGAATGCGCATGTCATACTTTAACTTTTCTACGACAAAATAGCTTTCAGTGCATCTTTCACGTGGGGATATTTAAACCGGAAACCCAATTCCTTGGCTCTAGCAGGAAGTACCTTTTGTCCGTCCAAAACCTGCAATCGGTTCTTAACATTATGATTAAGAAAGAGCAAAATAAAAAATACACACACACACACACATTATATATATATATATATGATCAATAAGGAATAGAGAGCACTTACTACAGAAGCACCTTCACCAAGGACTGCTTTGAGTGCAAAGTCTGGCACTGGCAACCATGATGGTCGGCCCATGACAGATCCCAAGTGGTTACACATCTCTCCCAGTCGGACAGGATTTGGTGCAGTTCCATTTATTACTCCTATGTTTAGATTAAAGAATAGTCCAAAGTTCAGTAGATCCTAAAAGCCCAAGAGAAATCCAACAGAACAGTCCCTCCATCTGGACTCACTAGTCAGCAGTTCAGTATAAAATTATACAGTGCACAAAATAATTAAATTATCACCAATAAAACTGCCAATTTCAGTGAGGACAATTTTGGGGGAGAGAAGCAAAATCCAAAAGATAGTAAGCTGAGAAATGGAATTAGCAAATATGGTTCATAGGGCCATAAGGACTTGAGGAAACATCTCCAGATTTGCGGCTTGTATATCAGACGAATCAACTGTGTAACCACAATGGCAAACAGAAGCAAAAGGACTGAAATGGACACAGAAGCTTAAGTTCAGAAATGGAATTAGCAAAGATTGTTTATAGGGCCAAAGTACATTAGGAAATATCTGCAGATTTGCAGCTTCTTGAAATGTATATCGGAGGAATCAACAAGAGAAGTGAAAGGACTGAATTGGACACAGAAGCTTAACTTTGTATATTTCCCGCACTGAAATTTCATTAACATTTTAAATTATCCATATATACACACCAGACAAGAAAAGGGATCAATAAAGTGCTGGTTTTATAAAAGAAGGCTCACACCAAAGTTCCAGATTAAAAAAGTAATAATATATAGTCACCACTTACAGGATGGAATATTGTAACCAACAAAAGATAATGAGACAGTTTCAGAGAATTTTTCTTTACTTTTTATTTCTGCACACTTTCAAACTTGATTTCAGATTGGTGGTCATGGGGCAGTGGAACCATCAAACGGGTAATTTATTTCAGTTCCCATATTTGTACTATAAATGCACTGATTTTGATTCAGGAATCACATGAATATTTATATAAATCAGGGAAATGGTTTATACCTTTATAAGATGGATTAGATAAAGCTTCATACATCAGATTCACTATGTCATCCAGATGAATCCAGGAAAACCTACACAATCACAAGAAAAAATAGTTCTCTTGGATTATGGAAAAGAAATATTATATCAAAACAATGATCGGGTTAGTCTCAATGAATGTTATATAACATATAGATTTCAAATATGTAAAGCGAAAAATAAATGAAGCTTAAATTTAAACCCACAGCCTTTGGAAACACTTATCTTGTTTTCTAGGAGCAGATACTAAATCTAATTTTGCTTCAAAAATGGCGACTTCTAGTAGCAGACAAAAATTAAATAATTTCTTGTGCAAAACAGGAAAAAACTAAGTGCTGTACCATTGTTGCCCAGAGCCCAATGGTCCACCAGCAAACATCATGAAAAGTGGGACCATTTTAGCTGCAGATGATTAAAGAAATTAGTATGATTAAAACCAATAAACCAATTTCAAATCATAGAATATAGAAAAATAATTCAGAAAATCTAACTATACCTAAAGCACCACCATCTTTTCCAAGGACAACACCAATGCGAATGAGTGCCAATCTAACGTCCTTATTTACTTGAAGGGCTGTCCCTTCCCATTCTCTACAAACCTGGAAGGACATATTTTTGTCAACAGTAACAACAGTAATGATATTACAAAATAAAACATGGAAACTGAGAATAAAGTAACATCTCATGGATCTCAACATAAATATAAGTTCATACAACTCCAAAAAATAATTTCCTTTGCTCACTAAGAATAGAACAGAAATAATATATTTTGTTTACCTCAGCCAAATAATCATTTCCTGATGGACTTTGCTCATTAAATATTTTTGTTTCGCTAGGGCCTGAACATTTGAAAGAAAAATTATAGAACAAAACTGAATATACTACCATAGAGAGTTTTATTTAGTTTAATGGTAGCTTCACAAATCAAAATTCTCTATCCCCCAACAAACAAACACAACTAAGTTTAGCAATGGAAAGACTCAATTGGATTTTTGACTTCTTTATTTATAGTTATACTAGACTAAATTCAGTGCATGCTGCATTTTGCTGTTCTTTCGATACAAGCCTATAATTCATAACACATAAATCAGGCATATCACTTGTACTGTATAAGCAATATTGTGCAGCAAAAGTTAAAAATAGAATCAGCGTAGATGAATTATCATATAACCTTAGGCCATAGGGTTCTAAAGCATTAACACTACATCTCATCAATTTACATATGAGTATCATTCTTTTAGTATTAGTTATATACACTCAATTTTTTTGTTTAATGATTTATTTACACATCTTCATGAAAGAAAATATAGTAAATGACAATAAAGTAATAGAAATGAAGATAAGGAACAGAAATGAAGTTTTACCAACTCACATAGCTGCTGCAATCAGTGGAAGGAAAAACAAAATTGATTGAGAAATCATAATATGTTCATGTAATTAGATCTTCTTCTTTTTTAATTTCTTTCTGCAGAACTTAATGAAAATAAGGGGAACTTTATCATGTTTTGGAATTTTTGATGAGTTGTAGCTGAGTATCGATATAAATCTAGGAGGATACTCCATTTCCCGAAAACTATTCAAACAAGCCAATACTCAAATTTAAAAAGTCAAACCTATGTTACTAGAAATTTGTCTCACCACATATTCCTAATATGTCGAGTTATATTGACCAAGTAGCATGTGAAATTACACACACACACACAAGAAGAAGAAGAGCAGGAGGAGGAGGAGAAGTAGTTTTGAGAGCATTTTTCTGATTCTGAACAAACACAAACAAGGTTCCTACCCAATAAGCATGTTGAACAATCAAGAGTAGTTAATACACTGTTCTTTCTCCCAAGGAAAACTGTTTCTAATAGTTTAATATGAAGCATCTGACTAATTTTCCCAAAGCTAAAAAAATCATACCATATATTTCATCAAATTTCAAAAAGAGAAAGTACAATGCAAAAATAAAGTGAAACAAAAAGGAACAATGATAGCCCATGGGGCATCAAGTTCGTATTGGCACAAGATCTGATCGAAGAAAAAACAACGAACCACCATTCATGGCTTAATTATGCACATTTGAATTTATATCAATGTGATGTTAAATTTGCTTCCATAATTGAAAAATGCTAAAGTAGCAGAAGGATGAAAATCAAAACTTTTTTTAATGATTTAATATGATGGTAGAAAATGCTGCTTTAGATACACACCGTAATAACCAACTGCTGTTGCGCTAACCAAAACTTTAGGCCGAACTTCATCTTCTGAATCATTTATTAGATCAACAACCTTCAAAATCAGTGAAATTGTCCCATGAGCAACCAATAAAGACACAATGTAAGCTATCATCACTTTTCATATAAAAAGAAAAATTTTTGCACTATATAAAGACCTCTGTGGCCAGAGGTCATTCAATTTTTGGGGCATCAAAAACATCCACCCTAGATTAACTGATCCATGGTTTGTGCAAGATCTTTGGTATCTGAAAGGAATAGTCCCACTCCGGAAAGGTGTGCAGAAACCATCCATTATCCCCAAATATATATATATATATATATATATAAAGACATATTATGACCTTTGAGGTGACTCTAATCCTGCTTTGCTTGATCTCTTTCTTGATCTGCAGAACTATAGCAAGTTAATAAATATATCCAATTTTAATCCATCACACAAAATATCATCTACTGGAACTGAACAAATTTCACTCTCTGCAATGCCTCAAACTTGCTTAAAAATATAATAAATAAAATTGCACTAATCTTTCAGCATCACTAATTAACGTCAAAAATGAATATTTGTATCGCGTTCCATAAATCACTTGTATCTGTTAAAGAAAATGCCATAAATACTATTAAAAGCAAATACATGAAAAACTTTGATCAAAACAAGTTGTTCATTTATTTATTAAGTTTTGGATAGGATGTTGGTGGGGAAGAGGAGATGTTCATACGAGAGAGAGAGAGAGCCAATTTGCAGTAGCCTTTTTTTATATAAACAGCCCTATTCAGATCTGCAGAAGGTCAAAACTAATACACGCTAATACTCAAATCAACAGGTGTATAAATTTTATCCAACTGAGAACTTGCTATACGAGCAAAAAAAAAAAAACTTACTATACAAACTTTTACAGGTTAAATTCGTCATATAATATGTTATGGCACCAACCAATTTACATAACTCAAATTTATCACCATGAAGCATTCATCACATGCACTAGACCATCATATTATCACGTAATAAATTATCACCTTCACAGTCAAAAGTTAAACTTTGACTACTTATGAAATATCAACAACATGATTTAATCAAGACAGATACTGATCGCAGATCCTATTATATTGGATACAGATAAAAGCTGAAAACTGCTTCAAAAGCAAATGATAAGGTACGCAGATCCAGGCAACGTTAGTAGTTATCTAACTTTAAATGCAAAGTAGGCAGACTAAGAAGCATGTAAACCAACCTCGGGAGACCATCTTGTACTTATGGGCATTCCAGCCAAGTTTACAACAGCATTTGAACCCTGAATACAATCTTTCCACTGTGGCTCCTCTGCAATTACGATTCCTGGGAAGTCCCTGACTACAAATTTAAGGACACGGAAGGAAAAAAATTGAGAAAATAGCGAGAAAAAATACAAACATCAAAATTTATGATGTAACTAGAAAACCTAGAGATTGGAACTGGTCCCTCAAGAAGCATCAGGTCTAAGGTTCGAATCCTATTGGGTGCAAACAATCCCTTGAACGGGGGTCGTGGGGTTGAATCAACTAGGGAAAAATAAAAAAACTAGGAAACCTAGAGATCAAAACTTGAAAACTTTCTACATGATGGAAGTTGAGAATACGAAATTCAGATAATAATGAATAAACGCCCAAACAGGGTGAAAAAGAGAGGAAAGGTAGCACTGGATGTAATCTCCGATCACCAAATTTGATCATTATCTACTAGTTTTGACAAGTAAACAACACTCATCATACTAGAGTTAAAAAATGTCATACTTTTATCAATGGTAAAAGAAAATTTGAGAAATAAATTACTTATACAAACAATAAAATTATTACCTTCTTACCCGGAAAAATTAACTGAGCTTTGGATATAGACCGTGTCAAGACTCGAACACAATGATCATCTGCATTCAAAAGGTGATAAAGGAAAAGCACTTCACTGATTTGATCAATATGTCACTCAGAAGCTTAAAACCAAATGAAGTAGCAAAGATACTGAAGGGGTAAAAATTTATAGAACGAAACATGTGAGATTGATAATCAATAAGTAAATATAGTTAAGAGGCTAAATTAATAGAAAGATACGTGGGAGATGGAAAGTTGCAATATTTTATATAAAGTAAATGTCGGAGGCTAACATGGTTGAGTAGAAGTAACCTGATTCATTAACTGTGGACCAATTTTAGTTCCACTGTACATGCAGTTCACTTCAAACTACGTTGGAAAAATTAAAACCCATTGGTTCATATCTGTTGTGACCTTGGGTAAAGCAACCAAAAACAAGCACACGAATGTATAAGACAGCCCTACTTCACTGAATTACTGCACTATTTTGTTGCATCCACCTATACTTTTTTCCCACTCATGTGGTCAGTTATGTGAAGCCTTAATGCTTAAAATAATATGATACTGTTTCATTTTAACTAATAATCGGGGAAAGTATTGTGAATAAAATAAAATATTTAAAACCACGAAAAGGAAAAATTGGAAGAAGAGAATTCATGTGGCCAACCCCATTGATCAAGGCCATGATGATGACAATGATGACAACAATGAAGGAAAAGTGTGTTAGCCGTACCTTCCTTCTTTAGAACTTACCTCAACCTAGGACTTAAGTTTAATATGCACCTTGCCTTGTTCAAAGATAAGATGTAATACGAAATAAACTCAACTAGTTACAAGTGAAAAGATAAGAACTAACCCAAGCTAACCTAGTTTCAACTTGAAGCCAAACAAAACAAATTAAGCTGCACCCCTAGTAAACATATAGTGACCCAAAGCACATTTGTTTTCCCATAATTGGTACCTTATAGGTCCGATATACCGATAGCATCTGTTCAACCTATTGAATTTTGGAATAAAGAGCCATAAAAACCATTATCCAGTATTTCTCCAGCCAATGCAGGGTCCTTTGAGAGATGGATTGGATATAAACCTAATCTTTAGCAATATTTGTTGCGATGGTAGCTCTCAAACTCATAAAGATGTAATATGCCCCTACAAAATAACAATTGGGGTGGGGGACTTGTTAAAGTTGAATCTAAACAGACTAACCCAACTAAGTTGCACCCTAGTAAACATATTGGACAAAAGGTGTATAGTGACACAGAGCACATTAACATTCTCATAAATAGAAACTTGCAGGTCCAATTAATTGATGGCATCCATCCAGATGTTGAATTTTATAAAGCGAATTGTCATAAAGTCATCGCCCAACATTTATCCAGCCCATAGAAGATGATTGGACAGGTGGACCAAGTATAATTCTAATCCTTGGCTATATTTGCACAAAACGAGCTCTCAAACTCAGATCATCATTTTCATGTTTGATTGCCTACTTTTTACTTCTTCACCAAGGACAGCCCCCCTATAGAATCACAAGTTGGGGAATAAATTGACTAACATATAAAAATAAGAGAAGTCAACAGGTATACTGTTAGCATGATTTAAACAATCTAAAACTAGATATAAAATATCATTCTAATAAGACAAGCCAAAGCTCTTGTCCTCGACAGTGCAAATCTCATTCACTGTCATCTATGGTGCAAAACTTTTACAAAATGCAATACTCGACTATTCAAATTAAGAAAATCATATCCTTATTATGCGGAGAGAACTATGGAAATCATGTTCCCTTTCTCTCTCTCTCTCTTTCTTTCTTTTATTTTTTTATTTTTTATGATGCTAGATGAAGTGATCAGAACCTGCATACAGCCTTTGCACCAATCTTCTACCTATAAAACCTGTAGCACCTGTTACTGATACAGTCATCTGATTTGCCTGCACAAAATTGCAAAAAGTCAATGAAATCTCCAAGTAACCAACATCATCTTACACGAGTATGCCAAATGTGTGAACCAAATGACTAATTCTAGCCAAAATAGCCCAACAATTGATCATCCCAAATGATTGAGTCATAGTACAATAGCTACCAAGTGGTTACATCATAATTCATACAATTACTCTAGGAAAGGAAGGAAAATAACAGAGACAAAAGAACCTGCAGAATTCCAAATGGGAAGGAATTTGTACATGCCTGTATTTCAAGTGGTTTGATTCACGAATTTACGGCAAAATTTACTTCTGACTCAAATTTGAATTTAACAAGTGACTGATTCAATGGCAAAAGCATTCAAATTTTTCCTCAAATTTTCAACCAGAACAATACAAAATGCTAAAAACTCCATTACTTATATATTAAAAAAAAAAAATCACATTTCGAGTATTCACAAAACGAATGCATTGTACTAATGGTCACTGTTGGCGAAGAATATATCTACAACAAAAGAAGTGCGAAATAGATACCAAAATGAACAGTCAATCATTCGAACCAGAGTGTACCTTCTGAGACTGGGCAGAGACATTTTCATTGTTGACACAGCAAACCCTAAACCTCTTAGTTTCGCACATCTGAATGATGGACACATTCGCAATTCATGAGCAAATAAGTATTAAAAAATGCTACTATTGTGTACATGTGTGCGCGCGCGGATATAGAGAGAGAGGAGTTTTAGAGAGAGAAAGACTTACTGAGAAAGAGTGAGGGATGTAGAGAGACGGAGAAATGGAGTTTGTCCAAGCGAAGGCAGTAGAAGCGCAGAGCTCCATGGGTGTGGAAAATATGCTTGATTGTGCGAAAGCGAACACGAAAAATGACTGAGCAATTGCTAATGGTTTATAGGATGTGAGGTCTCTCCTCGTGTTTGATTTCGGGCCACACTCACAGCACACCAATTATCCACCAGCTCTAATCCTACAAACTTTTTTTGGTCTATTTTTATTTTTATTTAAATTAAGTTGAAATATATATATATATACATCCTAGCATTAAGAATGAAAGAGATAAAAATAAAAAATTTGAATGAAGGAGAATGGTAGATTTTTTTGTTATATCTTGGTTAATGTTCTCTTTCTTTACAGCATGAAACTCTCACTGCCCTTGTCTAAAAATTTAAAATAAAAATAAAAGGATTAAAAAAAAAAAAAAATTCATACTGTTCTTTTGCTACCTCCTAGTTGAATGAAATAATTATTTGGTTTCCTTCATATTTTCACACCTAAAAAATTATGAGTGATAATTCGTGTTGGCATGTCATGTTCGTATCAACAGGAACACGACACGATTATTAATCGTGTCTAAGACCTTTATTACGAACACGACACTTTTATTACACGTATAACCTGTTTAATAAATAGATCGAAACTTGACATGATAAGAAAAGATACGTTTAAGTCATTTTTTATACGAATACGATATTTTTATTTTACACGTTTAGTTAAATGGGTCATTTTTTTACACGAATACGTCACGTTTATATGACACGTTTACTTAATCTGGTTATTTGGGTCATATTCGTATTTATAGGGTTAAATACGAACACGACACGTTTAGTCAACGGGTTAATCCGTGTCGACATGATTATGACATGAACACGATTAGCCCAAATCCAAACTTAAACTCTCTTATCTCGTATCGTGTTAACATGCCGTATCAAAAAAAAAAAAAAAAAAAAAAAATCTTAAATGCCTAATGTATAATCCCATGTTGGTGCCATTTTTAACTTCTTCTTAGTGTACCATTTTGTTTTTTTAGATTGGTGAAAAGTTATTTATTCAAGTTTTTCTTTCTAAAATTATATGATCAACAAATAGTCAAACAGACTAGTATGTTAGGTTCATGGTAAATGCAAAAAGGCAATGGTCCGCTATCTCCTAATATAAACAGCTTTAGATTCACAGTAGTGGACTAGTCGGGTGTCTTTTAATATCGATTTTGGACGATTGATTATTCAAATTTTTCATATTATTGTGAATTTCATCTTCGATTAGTCGAATGTCTCACAAAATTTACAATATTTACCGACTAATTGAGTGTCTCACAAATTTATAACGACAAAGGTTTCACAATTTTATGGATCATTCCACAATATTATCTATTGTGTTTTACTACTAATCCGTTGTGATAAAGTTTTGTTTTCCCAATGTTTTTTCTTAATGTGAAATAATTATGTTAGTAATTCACTTTTGTTTCCTCCAATTAAATCTTGTGATGCTAGTTATAGCTCAATCACACGACTTCTTTTTCACATCAATCCAATTGGCGTCCATTTTATTATTAAAAATCGTCTATTATTCCTTAAAACAACTTATTAGTTGCTTTTCCAAGTAATAAACTCCATAGGAGGTCTTTGTCCCCTCCACACCTTTCAGTCACTTCATCATACAAATATATGTGTCTGGTATAACTATTATTAATCCAAACAGTTTTCCAAATACTTCTGTTTCAAATTATATATATATATATATTTATTGAAATTGCAATATAGTAATAACCCAAGTAGAAATTAAAAAAGATATATATACTAGTCTGTTAGAGCGACCTCAACGCGATACTAAATAGTATGTGCTTCTAAAAATTAAGAAAACTGCCAAATTCCTTCATCTGCTGCTGCTGCTGCTTAAGCTTCAACCGGCGGAGAGAGGGTAGTGCTAAGTCTGCGAGTATGGGTATCCCAATGAAGAAATAAACCAAACCAAAGGCAATACAGACAACTCCAATCGAGAGTATTAAGTGCTGATAATTGTCAACTCCTTCTGTTGCAAGCCTAAAACCAGTGTAAATGGCCCACAACACCATCAACATTGACATAACTGTTGCAAGAATTACAGCAATTTCTACGTGGATGGTCTTCGTCCCCCTTGCTGCACCATTTTCCATTCTAGTTAGTTTTTGTAGTGTGTGTGTGTGTGTGTGTGTATAAACACACATTAATAGCAAATGTAGAGAGTGCATGTTAAAGGAGAATACAATTTTAAGAGCTTACAAGCTCATTGTTATATATGAGCAGAACAAGCAAAGTGCATTTCTTGAAGGTAATACAATTGTACAACTTCGGGATAAGTATTTACACACTTTTGCCCACGTCTCAGCTCGAGCCCCTTTCCTCCTTTTTGAGGATGGAAAGGTTATCATTGATAATTTCTTGACCGAAAACTAAAACTATAATTAGCAAATGTTTGTTCTTCTTAGGATAAGTTGCCATGGTAAAAATAAATAAATAAAACTCCTTTTTTTTGAGTGCATAATGTGAATGAATATTTGGATGTCTTAGCCTCCTACTAGGATGGCAACAATAAAACAGGATACTATAATCCATTTATTTACCTTCTATAATTTTTGATAGATTCTTTGAGAAGATAGACCAAAACCAAAAAGGTAGAACGAGTGTTTGAGCCAGGTTAGAGCATTATTTTGGGTTTGTGTTAGAGCATTATTTCAGAGTTTGAGCCAGGTTAGAGCATTATTTCGGGTTTGTGGTAGAGTATTATTTCGGAATTGTGTGTGTTTGCTTAAACTTTCGAAAAAAAAAAAAAAAAAAACATGAAAAAGAATCATTACCTCGATGAATGCAATTTTTTTTCTCCTCCTTTTGCTGAAACCACACAGTAAAATTTACAGCCAAGCCTGCGAGTCCCATGATGACCAAAATCACGCCTAAGAGAATGGTGACAACTCCAAATGAGAAAGCAAAGTGCTTATATTTTGGATCTCTGTAACTGTAAGGGTAGGCAACAAATGCAAATCCAGTGTAGACAATAAAGAAAAGCGTGAAGATTGGGATCGCAGTGAGGGCAATTCGGGTAATGTCCTGACGGACTGTGTTTTGTTCCTTCTCTGTTTCATCATCATCATCATCATCATCCATTTTAAGATGGATATTGGGATTGAGGGTTGAAGAAAAGAATGAACATTTCATGTGGGACTTAGAGTCACTTCTCATTCTTTACGGTAGTGATTTGATGGGAAACATAAATCAATTCCCGTCCTTTTCACATGATAGTGCTGTGATTGGCTAGGGGTTCAAAGTTTTGGTTAAAATCAATTTCTTTCGGATTTGAAAAAAAGAATTGAATTGTAATTAAAATGGAATTCATTTGTGAGATTTAAATAAAATATAACGTGTCAAAAAGAATTAAAGGAAATAAATTTTGTACCATTTTAATATGAGAGAGAGACTTGAAAGAAGCTTGTAAAAGGGTAAAAATTAATGTGACGTATAAGTAGTTTAGTTACCAAATTTCTTCTAATTCTTTCAATTTTTTATCTCCCAATCTTAAAATGTTTCTTTTGGATAAAATGAATAATTATGGCTGCGTTTGGTAACGAGAAACGTTTCTTGTTTTCTATTGTTAACCTCTAAAAAGGCAAAACGAAAACAAAAATCGCGTTCAATAAAATGTTTTTGTTTTTCTATAACAAAAAACGTTTTCAATTTTTGTGAAAAAAAAAAAGAGGAAACATCAAAATGATGTTTCTTATGTTTTTTGCACTGTAGCGCAGAAACGTTTTCACTAATGTTACTACACAAGCACTATTCATTTCAAATAAAACTCATATTATTTGTGTTATATAATAAGTTGCATATTAAATGTTAATAAAAATATATATTTTTAATATCAAATATATTAAATATTGTATATTATTTTTTATTTGATAAAAATATATTTTAATATATAACATATTAAATAATAATGTAAATTATTTTTGTGACAAAATAATTTTTGATATAGAATATAATGTTATTAAATTATTAAGAGGTAGATATTTTATATTATTATATATCATATCTATATTATATTATATGTAAATATTAAATTATAATTAATTTACAATATTATAACACAATATATATTTTATTACATATACGATATATTATTTTATATTTTTTATTCATAATAAATTATCATATGCTAAATATATTATATATCGCATAACAAATGTATACATCATGCATATACATGTATTTATATACATAATTGGTGGGAATGTTTTTGCCTTGGTATATCTAATTTTGTACTTATGATGTATTGGGTATCTTTAAGATTTATAATTTTAAATTAGATTTTCTAGATTTATGGCTTTTTGATATTAATGGAAGTAAGTGTCGTGCCTGAGTGGTTGGGTTGCTCCTGGTGTTCGAGAGTTCATTTTCAAGTCATTTACCCTCCCCCTCACCCTCCCCTCTAATCACTAACTCCTAATTGCCATGAAAAAAATAAAAAATTTAAAGAATATTATGTACATTTTGTAACAAATATGTTGTATAGTACACAGTTATTGTTTTATGTTTTCAAATTTGTGGCAACAACGAGTGTTAATAAACATCATTTATGTTTTTTATTTTCACTCAAGAAAGCAAAATCATGTTTATGCTTTTTTGAGACTGCAAAAATATAAAACGAAAACGTTACTAAACGCACCCTAAGATTATTATATAGTCTTTAACAGTGATCAAGTTTACCTTTTCACTGTTTTAACATTAATGGTACTCGGGATTATGTGTTTTTATAAAAAAACTCAAGGTTAGGAAAGTAATACTTCCTAAGTCACAATTCTTCTAAACGGCCGACAGCACTTTCACTCCGTTCCCATTTTATATGAATTAGATTTTACCAACTTCGCACTCCCCACCTCGAACTCACTTTGGGTAGGTCTCATTTGCATAACATACATGATCCAACTACATTAGATCATATGATTTTCCTGTTCATGCGCATCAAGTGTTTTACCCAAAAAATTATGAAAACAACATTAACAAGTTCGCCATCACTTATCAATTTGAGGCATTTTTGTGGTGGTATCAACATTAAATTTCAATTGATCATTGTAATTTTCTTTAAGATTGAAACATCAAAGTCGCCATTATGCACTTTAAATAGCCTCTCCCACATTTATAACTCAAACAAACAGAAATTTTTTCTTATTTAATTAAAATTCAAGCAGTTTAATTTCTTTAAGGTTTCCAGTGGTCAATAATTCAGAAAATTTCAGATCAAAATACATATATACATATAAATTTAATATTATTTAGTAAAAAAAATTATAGCACTAAAATGCGGCCACTGACTCAACATTAGGTGAACATAGGATTCGGGGCAAAATGTAAAAATTTCGAAATTCAAATATTTCTGAAAAGCAAATTCAAGAAAGGAAAGAAGAACGCCAGAGCGTGGTATCATCAATAAAAGGTCAAAATAGGGAACTTGACTTGACATGTATATTTTGGATGAACTCAACACCAAGAAGCCTCCATCAATGAAATTTCCCATAGAACACTTGGTGGCTGCACTCAATCCCTATAATGAAAAGGGCTCTCTAGTTGGTTGAAAAAAAGGTTAGATCCCTGGTCCAGTTTCAAAAGGGCAGTCCAGTTCACGCAACCTTGCCTCCACATACGGAAAGGCTATTTCTGGCTCCGAACCGGCCACCTCCAAGTCCCAATGGAGCCTAACTGTTGCGCTAGGGCCCACCCTTCATCCCTGGTCAAGTTTCTAAAAGCTAATTGTGGCTACAGCATTAGGAGTGGGCAAATAATCCATAGTGCAAAAAAGGCAAATAAATTCGACACAAGTTTCTCAAAAAAAGATGAATGTATGACTTAACCCAGTTTTGCAGCAATTCATGCAAGAGGTTTTTATTATTGAGTCAAATTATGAAACTCAGCAGAAAACCAAATACACAGCAACTGAGAATCTCAAAAAGTGTTCAAGGCTAACAATTGTCTTCAACTTAACACAAACAAGAAGGACCAGAATCTTCTTCCCTCCCCCAGGCTGATACTGTCTCTCAATCTGCATCAATAAGAAGATCCAGAATATCACAAAAATCCAATGTTCCAAAAAAAAATGTGCTTGAGAGAGAGAGAGAGAGATCCACAATCAACCTTAGCGATACCAAATGAGTTTTTCAATATCCTAACATTCAACAACAATGATGACTGAACAACTCATTAATACATCATGTCATAAATATACACATATACACATTTACGTTATTGTTATAGACACGATTTTATCAAATGAACTTACAGCTGCAAGGTAGGGAAGGAGGGGAAGGGAAAGTGAGGTAGAGAAGCTTTTCTTCATTAGTACTAGGCAAGGGAAAAGTTAAAAGGAAAAAATGGGCAGAAATAGGAAGGAATAAAAAGAAAACATTTAGGGCAGTCTTATTTGAATTATTTCTATGTTTTGCCATTCAAACAACTAGGGCTGCAAGTTGGGCTGGCCCAACCTAGCCCAGTCCCAACCCAACCTCAACCCGAATCAGGTTGGGATGGGCCAGCCCGAATTGTACCAAACATGGGTTATGGTCAAAACCTAGCCCCGGATATTTTTGGGCTGGTTGGGTCGGGTTGAGTTTTTTATTTATTTATATATTTTCCCCAGAAATTTATATATATTATATATATTTGATTATATTATTATTAAAAAAAAAAAAAAAATTTTAGGACAAATCATTTCAGCCTCCCAATCGCCTCCATCTCTATTCTCGTTCTCAACTCTGAACTTGCCCTCTCTCTCTCTGCAACTGCAAACTACAAAATCTACAAGAATCAGATGTTCAAAACCCATATATTTCAGTTTATTTATCAGTCTACAAGAATCCAAAGTTCAAAACCCACATCGGCATATCATTTCAAATTGTTCAAAAAATCTAAACCCATATCTTTCAGTTTGCATCGCCCGCTGTTCCAGTTCGGGTTCGTTCGCAAGCTTCAGCCACTGTCTCTCAACTCTCAAGCTCCCCCCACCCCCCCCGCAACAGCTAACTTGTATGTATGGGTTTTGTTTTAATTTTTGGAAGTGACGGCGGCAGAGAGAGAGAAAGAGAAAGAGGAGAGGAGAGAGAGGCGAAAAAAATATTATTATTATGGGTTTCGGGTTGGGTTCGGGTTGAGCCAGATTTGTGAATTTTAAGCCCAAATTTCAAAATTTCTGGGTTGGGGTTGGGTTGGGCTGGATTAGCCCGCCCAAGTTGCAGCCCTACACACAACATCCTTGTCTTAATATATAAACGTAGAATGATAAATAAGCATGTAATTTTCTCTCTTTCTTTCCCTTCATCATATTTAAGCATGTAAACCAAGGTAAAGACAGTTTTCTTTTCCATCCCTCACCTTTCCATCCCTCCTAGTCCTTAAAATTTAATCCTTTCAACCAAATGAAGTATAGTGCGTCAAATAATAATGATGCCACATGACCAAAAAGAGACTAACCTTTATTATTGCCATGGAAAAGGATGATAGTTTCAGTCGTTATCTTCTCGACCAAAGTTATATACTATCTCAATCTGTATCAGCAATCATAAAAAAAGAACCAACTCATAAATATAAGCAGACTGTAAAGCCAGATTGGCATATATATCTTGAACAGGGAGGTAACAATACAGCATGAACAGGATGAACGAATACAGCAAGATCATTGGAAAGACTTCATGTCATCCTCCCATACAAATGGGGTTGGCCACATGAATTCTCTTTTTCATTTTTTTCATATTACAAGTCATTTTTCCTATTATATTTAAGGAAAAATTACACTACCTCCCTTGAGGTTTGGCCTAATTACACACGGCATCAAAATTACGGATTTTGTGGCAACGACCTCCCCTATGGTTTTCTCCCGTTATGACACATACCCCCTTTCGTGCAAAATTTGGACAGTGACTTCAAAATATTTGGTTGCAATGACCAAAATGCCCATCAACTAAGAGAAAAAGATGCTATTACCCTTAGATTGCCATCAAATTACACACAAGTCTTATTTTTATGGTAGAAGATACCCTTATTTCTCCTCGCCAGAACAAACCACCCCCCCCCCCCCCCCCCAAAAAAAAAAAAAAAACCTACCCTTATTAAAACGTATTAAAAATTTGAGGGGCAATAGATTAATTTGACATATTCAGATACTTTACCATTTTTAATAAATTAAATAATCAGGTAGTAGGGTAAAATCACAAAAATATCAACATCCATCAACCCCGAACCGTTATAGGGGATGTCATTGCAACAAAATACATAACTTTGATGTCGGTGTGTAACTAGGCCAAACCTCGGGAGAGGTTAATGTAATTTACCCTATATTTAATGTTTTAATCATTCTTCTATTAGAAAGACTTAAATTTTACAAAATGGTTCTCCATGTTATAATACAAATGTGTGGTCAGTATATACTCTTGAAAGTACATTTTATTTATTTTTTTTTATGAGTTATACTCTTGAAAGTAGCATAAAGGTCAAAACCTGGTAATTGCATTCTGAACTATAAAGCAAAGACGAGGTTAAATTTTCTAAAATCCACATATAATAGTTGTCCCTGCCGGTGCTATTACACATCTAGTGAATTGAGCATACTGAAGATGTTACAACTGACCTACAATGAATTCATACCTTCTGAAGATTTTACAGAAATTAAGAAAGTAAATTTCTGAGCTAAGCAGGGGCTACAAGTCTACAACTCCTGAGGAATTTAAAGTGTGTTTCTGTCTTCTTAGCATTTCACAATTTACTGAAATATGGATTATTTATCAAGGAACAAAAGTAATTGCCTTACTGAGAAAAAAGTAATAAAACTAAATAAAAGTAATTGCTAATAATGCAAACTCTTCCGGTTAAATCCTTAAAACTTCATCAAATCACATTGATTAACATCAATGTGAAATCCTGCATTACTATGAGAAGCCAAAGTTTACATAGAAAAATGTAAAATAATTGAGGTAACACAGAATACTACAGAGTCTGGAGACAAAACCAAAAACTTAATTTTATCTCAATCTAGATCCTATTTGACAGCTTAGAGAAAACTAGAGATACACATGCACAGACATTCACAAACACATGGTGAGATAGATAGATAGATGTAGATACACAGAGAGACTTGATTTGTCCCAAAATCAAAACAATTGAACAAAAAAGTGCTTTTTCAGAAAGCATTCAGCAGATTTACAAACACCCATAAAACTTCCATGAGCAGGATCGGTGACTGATGACAGATATTACACTAGCCGTATTAACATCTTTCCGAAATGTTTGGGTTTCTTATTTTTGCGTATCAAAGGTAATGCTTGGATTTAAATGAACTCAACTTAGTGGCCTGTCACTGCAGGGGAGGCAAAAAAACTGAAAACTTGGGACCATGCAATACTAATTCCTGTCTAAATAGTTACTAGGCTCCAATTTTTCTTCTCTTTCCCTGCATCTACTTGCCAAATATAGAGTGTGGGAAGCCCTCTAAGAAGTGATTACCAAGGGATGCATAACCAGATATACCAATAAAAGCAATTGAAGAAAAACATAGTAAGCTGTTGGGACAAACTCAGATTTGAAACAGCATACAATGCAAGTCTTACATAAGCAGCATACCCCCAGTCCGCCCACCTAAGAGGCTAAGACCCACCAAAGAGATGGAGATCTCCAAGGTTAAGAATCATCATGATCAGATGATATAACCATTAAGTTCACAGATCGTTTTTAAGTGTACCATTTGTAAACATCAACATTGGTAGTAAATAAACTGTTCAAGTGCTCCTTCATGCTGAATATCCTTTGCTAGGCAACTGAGATATTACATCTCCGGGACAAATGATGCATTCATAAAGCATATGATACATCACATGTAAAATTTGACGAGGGTTATTCTCCTTAGTTCTGAATATCCTTCAAATGAAGGAAGAAAGAACAAATTAAGCCCAACATAAGGACATTAAGCCCAACCTAAGAGGACCAAATCATATAGATATATGCATAATGTAAGAACCTTGAGCTACAAATCAAGAAATGAATATTTGTGTAAGAACCTTGAGCTACAAATCAAGATATGAATATATGTACTTAAAATTAGTTTATTTAGGTATACAACAATGGGAAAAAAAGGATGCATGCCCAAAAGTTTATACAAGGATGCAAAATATACATGTCACAACCATGAAATGAATGAAGTGAATAAGCAGAATAAAAAATTAGAACAAAAAGATGAACTATAAATTACATAAATTAAACAAAATGAACCAAGTAATAAGTTGTTAAATAAATTACCCCTTTAGGAGGTGCTGGGTTTCGATTAAACTTGCTGCCACCGGGAGCCCATGGAACTGTTCAAAGAAGATGCAAGTGATCTTTCAAGCTACGTGGGTAGAATTAAACTCATAATGTGACAATGGGCTAGAGTAATAAGCACCACTAGAACTAAATTTGCTATGCATCACATTCACATAATCACATCAGTCCATCTAAGAGAAAGCATCACATTCACATAATTACGCCAATCCATGTAAGGGCATGCACGGAGTTCAAGAATACTGATACATTTCAGTCTTTGCAAAGCATGACCAAATTATATAACTTCTAAAACTCACACACTAAATGATTTTTGAATCACAAAGAAATGTGTAACAGAAGTAAAACGAAAACTATCAGATTACTTTAATAACAGTAAGAGTTACTTTCTTTTCATGCAAGTTGGTTCTTTCACAAATTAGTGCTATAAGAACTTGTAACTTAGTTTCATATATTGCCATATAGGTATATTGTTCAGGAACTCTGACTTAGTCTCATGTACAGGTCCGAGATCTTGTCTAGTACTCTCATGTACTCGCACAATTCCACATAGGACGTATACTGAATTGCGGCACTTTTAGCTTATTCCATTGTTCTTATATATTCTAATTACATCTTTTTTGTAACTTTCTGCATATTACTTTGTGTTTGACTGTATATAGACCAATATTTAGTCCCATCACCAACAAAAAGTCATACTGAGGCCTACCCAATCTGCAACTCATAACAATAACCAAAGCCAAGCCTTCAGCACCAACTCCTACTCCTGGGTACGCTGAGAAGTATAGCCTCTGTAGTTACAATACACAGGCTCTCTTCTAGTAACAGAATGTGAATTTGACACACACTGAGTTGCCTTGACAGCAAAGAACCCCAATAAATTTCTATCTGATAAAAGTCTATGGTGGCTTGGCACTCCCACTTAACCTTTTTACATAAGATTCTAGAACATTGTCGTGCCAGGGCAGAAATCATGTCATTTAAGATACAGATGAGCTTTGTCTTCATTAAGAAAATTTTAATCAAGAAAGCAGCTGACACTTTAAGATCCCATGTTTACTGAACCACAAAAAATCCAGTCTGTATTTGATCCTCAAATAAAGGAATAAACCAAGCATCCTTTTTTTTCTCAAAGCAGATATAACTAGCAAGATCAGAACAAGATAAATTTGTTGAACATCAGGCATTTCTTCGAAATGCACAAAGAGTTGTGTTCTCTTCTTTACACTGTTTTATTCTTTCAGTGCTTTTTTCAAACGGTTAAAATCACAGCTTTACTCAAAGGAATTAGGCTTCTATTATTTAGTACTTACTAGTATAAGGATCAGGATGTCGAAATTTATTGTAGGTTGCTTCACCATCAGATATCATTCTATCAATTGTCTCAAGATCTTCCTGGGAATCAACCAAATAAAACAACATGATATCAGATATAATAGTCGTATCAAGAAACAGAATACAATGAATGTATAGTTCAATTAGTCGAGTCCAAAACGTTTAACAGTTTACTGCATCTAGCCTTATTTATCTAGATAAAAAGTAAAACAATAAAGGTGCCACGCAACACAACCCATGTACACATAATGACGCATAAAAGAAAACAAAACAAACCCCTGGATTACATATCAGGAGACGAGAAATAAAAAAGAAAAAGACTGAACCCGCCCCAAGAAGTAGAAGACGAGCAAGAGGCACTATAACAAAACAATCCTACACCTTTCCTCCCACCTACAACCCTACAGATCTAGCGAACTCCCTACCACCTACACTTCAAGAAGCCCCGTATCACTTTACACCTTCGCCCTCATAGTTAACTGAACAACACAATTTATTTAACTATGATTTCATGTCTTGAACTAGATACCACTCTGCTCTTTAACTATTCAGCCACCTTCAATCTCTGCCTAGCAAACCACATAGCTTTGTCCTCAAACCCCTCATACAAACTCCAATAAAATTAATAAAGGCCCCAAAATTATTCATTACCCATACTGATGACACACCTAAATCCTCTTTCCTGCCACCTACCAGGTACACACGTGCTCTAGCAGGCTAAGAACTGGTAGAGGGCATGCACCATTGTGTAACTAAGATCCTGATCACCCACATCCTCCCCTAATTCGAGCCTTACTTCCAGAAAGGAGCAACATCCCATCCTCCCATCACTGATCTAAGAGTAGCCCCATCCAGTTGTAATTATTACGATGATTGTAGTCATCGTAATTATAATGTAATTGAAATAGTTATAGTCATTACCATCATCATTAATGGCTACCTAAGTGTAAAGCAGGGTGGTAAATTATTCAAAAGCTATAAACCTATTAGATCATTAGCTGGATAAATCAGACTTATAACAACTTCTTTTAAAACATAATTCCATTAATATTGTTATTCCATGTTCTGCCTTATGTAGTAGCAAGACCATTAGAAATGGAATACCACTTTATATGAGATGAATAAACCGAAAATGTAAAGTATAATGCACCCATTTCGCATCGTCCATCCAGCTAAGCAACATGATTACTTGTAGCAAACAGAATAATCATGTCAAATCATTACAATTCTCCCGTTTACACTTTGGTTCAAAACCTACATCATAATTGCAACGCTAAGGTATAAAATCATGCCCAATAAGCAAACTATTGTGCTTTTTGAATTGAAATTTCAAACTGCCAAAAGAAGGCAAGGGCCTTACATCACATAGCATATCCGTAAACCACTTAAAATATAGATGTGCCACCAGATGCCAACAGATAAAGGTCTCCTTTATCTTGACAGAGCAACTCAAGAACATTGCCAGTTTAAATTCCATATATGCTCACAAATTTTTTCAGGGATTCAAAGGTGATGAATTAATGTAACCATGATCATAAAATGTGCCCAAAATTAAATAGATGAGCTCAACTCTTCATGTTCAGGTGCTCATGAAGGCAAACCATGTTCAGAAAAATTTTCACTCTTACCCTACATGGAACGGCATAGAACCAAAAGATTTGAGCACAAAACAGTGATGAGCGAGATTAATTTTTTTTTTTTTTTTTTTTTTTTTTTTTTTACTTCTGACATTTTTTCAGCAACTATCATTTGGCCCGTCAAGATGCAAATTGCAAGAAAAAGAAAAGAAGTGGCTAATATTCATATGATTATAGGAAATTAAGCGAAAAACTTAAAGAGTGTTTGTGAGAACAAACCACATGCTTGTTGACCTCAAATTTCTCTCGGAGGACATCTGCCTGGAACAATCAATAGTTTTGGGTATTAGAAGCTAAAGTATACATATATAGAGAGAGAAATGTCAAGATCGTGTAATTGAAGATGTGGAATGAACCCTAAGAGAAGAGTAGAGAGATGGGAATGACATTTGACATACATCTTGATAGAAGAGATGGCGATGAACGGCCCAACTGAGAGTATCTTTAAGGGCTCTCCTGTAGAGGATCCTCACTCTTTCCTTCTGTGCTGCCCTTCGAGCAAGGTACGACGCCGATGCACTCATCTCTGATCTCTCTCTTCTTTCTCCACTCTCCTCTCTCTCTACGCTGTTTTTTTGACAGACGGGCTCCATTCGCTAGGCCCAGTTTTGTAATTGGGCAATGGTACCACATGACACGACGTCGTCCCTATTGATCATACTTAGATTTTTTATTTTTTTTTTTATATTTTCTTACAAATAATAATAATAATAATAATATTTGAGAGAACAAATCACGTGTAACAGTTCCTATAAAAATTAGAAACCTCATCTTTTATTTTGAGAAGTATAGCATAAAGATGGATAAAGCATTACTGAACAGTCTAAACTACAGGTTTAGTATGGAACTGGAAATGAAAATCATATCATCTTTAATTTTCAATTAGTTTTTCCTTCTCTCTTTTTCAGTCCCATTTAAATGGCATCTCATGCTACTAAAAATAACAATAATTTTTATTTAAAAAATTCAAAAAAAAAATGTTACTCCTTCCAATTCATATTAGTTTATATTATAAGGTTATCTCTTTTTAAAATTGTCTTGTTGTCCTTTAAACTTAAAAAGATGTATAACTGTATATTACCAGATTGGGAGATATTTGAAAACCTAAAAGATAATTATGAAAAATTAGTATTTTTATGCTTTAACTCGTCAAATGGAATAACTAATTTGAGACACTTAAAATAGAATTGTAGACAACTTACATGGAAGAGAGGAAGTATTAATTTATCAAACTAGACTTGCATGTGTCACATTCTGAATGGCTTAACCATTTTTATTTTTATTTTTTGCAGGTCAAAAGTACCAAACATAGAAGTGCGCAAATATCTCAACAGTGTGTTTGTTGTATGAAATATCTGCTCGAAAGCAGGAAGTAAGAAGAGAATTTAAAAGAAGGAAGTTTTTTCAATCCCAGTGCATAAAACAGTGCGTCTTTGGAATTAATCCAGTTCTCCGACACTCTAAATCAAAAGAGATCATAGAATAATAACGGTCTTATTCAAGCATACTAAAAAAAAAAAAAAAAAAACTTCATATAATGATACAATCATAAAAGCAGAAACTCCACAAATTACAGGACCCAAAAAAAAAAAAAAAAAAATGGATTACCACTCATAAATCAGCTGTGTATAAATAACCTCAGGTGATGCACTGTCTGAGAGGAACCTTCTTGGCTGTGACCATTGTCTAGTGCTTGCTTCTTGCAGCAGTTTAAGAAAGTAACCGAGATCTGATATACTGCAAAAGCTGATTGCCTCAATCGAGTAGTTGTACAAGGCAAGTGCTCCACAAAAATCTCACCAACAAATCAAGCACCAGCATTGTCAAAATTTAATCATAATGAATGTTATCTGGTCAATCTCATTTCTACCAAATCGCCTCTAGAGTTGTCTATACATGAACATACTACAAGCTTAGAAAAGGGATGCCATGCTGTGTTTCCAAACAAGGGATCTCCGGCTCATTCGTGGAGGAGTGAAGCTAAGTCCAAACATCTCCTTCATGGCCTGTCCATGCTCCGAGAACCTGATCAACTTTGAAACAATAGCAGCACTCTCCCTAATGTGGTTCATATCCTTTGTGTCACTCCACAAGTAATGCACCAGTTGCAGCCTCCTCCGCTTTGAGTCCAAATGGATACCCCACTTCTGGTAGAGTCCATTTCTCTCCACTCCTGAGAATCTCTTGTACATTAGTCTGCTTAACATCTCTCTCTCGCGGCGAAGAGCCTTCATGCTGTCAAGTCAGAAAGGATATTATGCGCGTGTTGGTGAAATTCTAAGTAGATATGATGCAAAATGGGCTTATTGCTTTGTGCACCTGAAATAAGATCTATGATGCAACACAATAAAGTTTGTAAAAGCTAGTGGCCATTTATAAATTCTTTCAAAGCAAGGAGCACCTATTTTGGGATTGTTGTCTTCTTAACTGAACCCGTCCAGTTCCAGGTCTGACCCTTCTTAACTGAACCCTTCCAGGTCTGACCCTTATAACTTCCAACCCCATTTTTCTTTTTGAATATATTCACTTTGCATATATGCAAGAAATGAATACAGTATTCCAAGATACCAGTTCTAAAGTACCTACACGTGTACATGCATGCGTGCAAGAGAGAGAGAGAGAGAGAGAGAGGGAGGGACCTTGAAGCTAATGTGACAGTGCAGCCATCTTCCACAGCCTGATTTCCCCCAGAAAATGCTTCCTTGAGGAAGGAAAGTCTCCTGAGCTCTACCTCCATGTAGATGGAGTCTGTCGGGTGACCATTAAAGAGTAGGAAGAAATACGTCCTATGGACCAATGAAACATTGCAAGCGTGCCAAAGTTCAAGTATCACTTTCTGCTTCCTCTCAAATTCAAGGGGCCAATTTTCAGGTGTTCCCACTTCATGCATTGGATCTAATCCGACATCTCTGACTTTCTTCCCAGACTCTTCAACCTCTGGCTCCATTTCCTGAACCTAGGATTACACAGGAAACCATCTTATAGTGAGCAAGTTTCATGTAAAAGGAATGATTTACTGTAGCTATAGCACAATGCAGTAAATGGTTAATGATATAGAAATGCACGATTTACTTCCGCTGCATGTGACATGACATGTCAACATAGTAAATAGTTATAAGAGCAACAATATGAAAAGGATTAAAATGATTTCTCTGTAAACAGATGTACAATGATTTTATGTATATTTTCACAAAGAAACTATTTACACATCTATAGTCAATATTTTATCACAGAATGAGTGAATAATAAAACCAAATGACCACTCACTAATTGGAATCAAATTCTGAAAAAGAAAAACAGTAACACACAAATATGAAACATTAAACAAGGACGCACCAGCAAAACTATAGGTACATTATTACCTGCCCATCAAGAATTTGTTCTCCATACTGAAGCTTGGTCATTTCCTTCAGCCCAGCAACAAAAGTGTGAATGCTAGGAACATCCTCATCTAAGGAAGCCTTGTTGTTCTGAGATTTTAGCCCATCTGGTAAAGCACTTCCAATAGACGATAGAGAATCATTTCTTGACAACCCTATAAGGTTGGTACCATAATTATACGGAGGAAGCATCCTTTCAAAGCCTTCTGGTCTTCCAGGAAAGCTTCTCTCAAACCCATTAGGCGGGGTGTTCTGACTTTGTCCTGTCATATCAAAGCATGGCGAAGATGAGCCTGTCATGAGACTTGCTCTACAACTCCTGCTCCTAGTTAACTTCAGGCTTCTAGAACTTGACATATCTGCTGCCAGGGCCCAAGGAGATGGTTCATCAGGGTAAAGACTGACAAGAGAATCAATGGTCTTTTCTTCATCCTGGATTTTCTGCTCCATTACCCCATAAGTTAAATCATTTTGGATCCGACTTTCTCTAGGTGAGGTTGATACCATTTCCTCATCTGCCAAATTGCCCATCCTAGACAATGTCAACGTCAATATTCTATTCTCACGGGCTGGTATGGCAAGAGAATCAGATATCTTGTCCTTGCTGTACTCATCTATCTCAATACATCGAACTTCCTTGCAGATATCCTCAGGATCCTCTCTGGTTTCCATTGAGAACTCCTTCCGACGATGACATGGCCAGGATCTGACAGACTTACCACCATATGACAGTGGTTTAGAAGCACAATTAGACAGAGACTTGTCTTCATCATTCCCTGAAAGCTTCAAGTAGGGTTCTTCGGGATTACTCCTATAATCTATGTTAGTAGAATTAATTTTTTTTGCACTTGTGTCCAAACAATGAGGATCAGCCACACCAGATGACTCTGATTCAGAACACTCATCTTCCCATTTATCCCCTACATGCCATTTAGGATGATGACTAATTCCATCCTGTACAAAGAGAAGAAATAAAAAGTTAGCAACTGGAGAAGAAACAGGTGTTACAAAACTCTGATAATATATGTGTACCTGTTGCCTTGAAGCTTGATCATTTCCTACCAATCGTAGTAAATCCTCAACCCGAGACTGAGCAAGATCCCGTTGCTTAGTTAGCTCTTTCACCTCTTTCTCTAACTGCATGATAGAAAACCAGGGAATCAACACAAGCCAATAAGCAACAAACTGCCTACCCTATGGGCGTATCTTGTAGGGTCAAATCCAGGTATAATCTCATCAAGTATGTCTTGATTTACAATATAAAAAAAGTTAGTCCACTAAGTTAAAAATGTATGCATGATTTCAGACCTTTACAGGTAAAAGGACAAACAAATGTTCTAGGCCTAGGCCAAAGGAAGTCTGACACCCAGCCACCCACAAATTGTTAACAGGTTGCCAAGTATTATCAGATTAATTTGTTGGACATTCATTTTTGGCAAGTTTGTACATAGCAGTATGGCACGTTCACATAGAGAGAGAATGGGATATCTTTAAGGTGAGAAACTCACCAATCTACTTCACCAATTTTAGCTTACCCAACTCAAGCTCCAGTAAGTTGATCCTTATGAGGTTTACATCCTCAGTTACAAGGTTTATTTCCTGGATTTATGAGGGGCAAAATTTTGCAGTATGCCTTTAAGTATCGTCATTCAGTAATCACAAGTGAAGGGACATTCATTCCATAATAGAACTGGAGACAAATTTTTTTTTTTTTTTTTTTTTTTTTTTTTTTGCTGATGATGGTGTCGGGCCCCTTAGAGCACCCCCATAATCTACCACCAGACACATGCAGTCTCCCCATCCCACGTGCACTGGGCAATTACCGGGAAAAGGAAATGTGCAGGAAGATGCCTCTGGGTATCTTGCCACAACTCACGAGTATCCCTGTCGGCAACCTGCAGGACACATCTGAATTGAATATTTATGTGGTTCACATCCACAGCTACAAGGCTCATGTCCCAAATTTACCGAGGCATAAACCTCTGAAATCCACCAGTAAGAATCATTGTTTAGTAATTACAGGTGTAGGGAAGCTCACTAATAGAATTGTAGTTTCCTATAAAGCTCCCAAGTGCTCTCTGGTAGAAGTGGAAATGCACTAGGGAAATTCACACGAAGATGCATGTGAGTATTAGTCCCACCACACCGCATCTTTCAGATGGCAGCCTGCAGCACATCTCTCTAACTTGCCACAGGCCCACACCATCACCAAGACAATTCATGTGTACTCTATGTTGCTCAAGGCAGCACCTTCCAAATAATTCTCTATTCTCAGACAAATACATGGACATCTCCATAGAAGTATGGCCCTCCAAGATTTGCAATGTGTGCCAAAATTCCATGTCGCACTGGTACATAGTACATACATTTCCTATCATCCTCAGACACATTCTCTTGTATAAAAGGAGTGACCTTTACCCCATTTCTCAATGTTATAAAAAAATAACTCACAGACATGATATATTCTGACTCCATTTTCAAAATAGAACATATTTTCATTCTATACACCAACTACTGGGATTTTCATCGTTCTATGTATAATAACTACAACTCCATAATAAGAACCCAAACCCAATTCCTCCCAATGCCTACAAATCTCATGGAGAGTCTATTATTTCCAGATATGATTCAATGCCATTCCTCCACTCATTCCCTCAACATTTGCTACACAATTCCACTGTATTTCAACTAAAAATCCCACCATCCCAGGAATAGCTCAACTAGAGAGAAGAAAGCAAGGGATTACCACCACCATATTTGACATTTTACAAGTCTCTTACCATTTTCATATCTCATAGCTTTTTCACAAATCGTCTCCCCCCAAGGCAATCTAGTTTATAATACCACCAGTTCCAGTGAATTTAAGTATGATAACATGTATACATGTATTTGACGAGGAAAACAAATCACCTTTTCAATCTGAAGATCTTTCTTTCTCAGTATTGCTGCATAATCACAAGTGGAAGTAGGGGCTGGAGTTCTTAACTCGGTCTCCAATCGAGCCAACTCTTTTTGCAAATGTTTCACCAAGGCCTTATCAGACATGACAACATTGACCTTTGCATTTGTGTTCACTTCTTTTGCACAACTGGCAAACAAGAGAGTATTTCTAGATTGCTCAACATGGCTTCGTGCAGGGCTCAAAGTGCAAATGATAGCAGTTCTGGCATTGCCTCCCAAGCAGGGATGTAGTATGCGTGTTAGCTTTGAATCTCTGTAATTGACGTGTCCTTGTCTTCCCTTGCTGCACCCAATTATAGCACTAAATTGATGAACTCAAAATTATATCACTTCACTTATCTATATCTAGAAAAGGAAGAAAGAGAACAAAATAGAAAAGAAAAGAAAAGAAAAACAGTGAGAGAGAGAGAGAATAAATTCAACAAAAAATAATAGGCCAACAAGAATATAATTAGTTCACTTAAGGATGTCTGACTTGGATTCGCAGCATATTTGAAATGACTGACAAGTAAGATTATAGCTGGGAATATATTTAACAAGCAATATACCACTTATTTCTAAAATACTTATATTATGCATGTGAAGCAAATCCAATATCATCTTCAAATGGCATACCAAAGAAACTAACTTCCAACACCATTCGGAGTTCCTTCTTTAGCCCATCAAAAAGAAAGAAAAAAACATGGTGGGTTCATCCTCGATAAGGGTGTCATGGTTTAGAAAACCAAAGCTCTGATAGGAAATGGTAAATAAATTTAGACAATCTAGTAAGAGTAAAACACCAAAGAGTTATGCCCGCAACCTTTAGCCAAGATATATTTAATAATTTTTAAAGCTGCCAGTTGTAGTTGAGAGAATAACATGGTCAATAGAGGAATAATTAATCAACCTTAGCTTGCGAATAACAGTTCCTAGAGTCAGTAAACTACGATTGATGTGACAGCCTTCTTTCAGTCTTGTCCCGACTGATAATGCCTGAGACGCCCGCTCACTCCCTGCCAGATCAACGAAATTCTGCCAGCAAAAACCAAATTAAGTAACCATGTCCTGCCACTTGTTATAACTTACATTTACCTTTTTCAGAGTTAGACTCATCTATTAAGATCCCTAGGCAATAATCTATTAAAATTCAACCCATTAAAGAAAGTTAATTGATCTATACCACACTGGCTGCAAGGGTTGTTGAATTGTCCTTGCCCAAAAACTCACGAGCAGAACTTTCAATTGTCTGCAGCAACCAAATACAAAAGGTGTAAGGACTCTGAAGTACTGCATGGAATACTACAGCGAAATTTATCTAACAAGGAAAGGGAGTGAAGAGAGGGGATCACCAATCTAAGAATTTGATGAGATCTAGAGCTTGTTTCATTAAGCAATGTCTCCCCTATCTGTCTTTGAGCTGCAACAATGCAATAACACACATATAGGTATGGCATCATTTCATAGTATCATTGTTATAGAATGTCATTACCTTCACAAATGGATAGGAGATCCTTGAGATGACCCCAATCCCTAAGAGTTTCCTCTGTGAGTTTCTCAACGATAGTCCCTTTCTAGAAAAATAAGAATTCATTAGAAAAATACATACAATCACTTGATGCCACCGAAAATGAAAATAGCATTCACCTCTGGATCATCTAGGAGCCTAAGTGGAGTATTGTCTGTGCTAAGAAGATCTCTGACAGCTTCATTGTAGATCTCCATTGCAGAAAACTTTAAAACAAATGCTCTTTCTTCATGCTAAAGAAAAGAAAAAGAAGACAGCTAAATAAGTTAAAGAAACAAGAATGAGATGAAATATAATATTGAACAAAATTGACATCAAATTAGCATTTCTCTACCCTTTGTATATAGTCATATATATCTGCAACCGTATACTCTGTTATTCCAGTCATTGTATATGTCTTTCCACTGCTTGTTTGCCCATATGCAAAAATACTCGCTGAATGAACAGAGATGAAAATCATTCTCTTGTGAAGTAATAACTGTGGTTATGACAACTAGAAAGCAGCTACTTGAACATTATACTTACAGTTAATACCACTGACAACAGAAAGAGCAATCTCCTTTGCTCCTTCGTCATATACCTGCCTTGTCGAGCAGTCACCTCTAAATACTCTGTCTATCCAAAAACATGAAACAACAAAAATGAGGGCAAGATCAGAAAATTTTCATACATCTTCAAATAGACCGTATCAAGTTCTGAAGGGAAAACAAAAAATCCATCTGGAAAAATTGTCAATAAATTCAAACCCCATAATAAATTTGGTTTCCCAAAGCTAATATTAAAGATATTTTCAACTAGTTCCGAACTTGCTATTGCTATTTCATCACAATTCATAATCACTTCCGCTTGCATATAGACAGAAAAAAATAATAATAAATAAATAAAAATAAAAAGCAACAGGGATGTCCATACAAAGGTCCTAGGTAATCTGCCAAGCATTGCAAGTTAATGGAGAACAAAAGTGACATGCTCCAAGTTAAACACAAAGTAAATTGGGAAACAAAATATTGTAATTGCAATGGACTCCAGGGCCACCTAATCCAAGTCCAGCAAGTCTTCATGAAATTGTTTTGGTTACTATACTGCAAAATGCTCCAGATCACACCCAAACACCATAAAGGCCTCATCCAGAACCGACAAAGGCCTCACCTATATTGCCTTTAAACCCACAACAAGATTTGAATCTTCAAGAATAACAAATTTAAATGTACTTTCGAACATTTTTCTTACCAAAAGTGTAGGCGGTTGGAAACCCGGACCGCTCTTGAAGACTGTTCCGGAACAAGATGGCAGTCTCATTGATGCATTCCCAGTCTGAAACTTCATTCCTCGCAATCTCCTTCTCACTCAAAGGCCTCAATCTGACCAATACAAGAATTTTCTCCTCCCGTGCACTTGCTTCCCCTTGCATCTTCTCCCACTTCATCAACTCCTCCCCACCAATTGCCCCCATTTCTCACCCTCCTCTTTTTTTAGTCACAAACCCACCTCCACTAAACCAATAATTTAATACCCATAATTTAAAAATCCCCCAAAAACACTTGCTCATTGTAATTTCCCCATGTAAAATGCAGAGAGAGACAGTTACAATGTTAAAAACAGGGTTGCTGACTTGTTGTGCTTGCCAAGAAACAGTAAGCTGTACTTATCATAACCGTTTATCTGCAACTACAAGCTATATAATTAAAGATAGTATTCAACAACTAACGAAATAAACAAAAAGGGTTAATCATGGTTTTACTTGTGATTAAGATCTTTGCTTAAATTTTTGTAAAGTTTCACTGCAAATCTATTGAGTGTAAGAACTAATAAGAGCTAGTACTACTACGCTTGCAGACGAAGTAACTGTGTCTAATGGAATTTTCAAAGGCCGGTGAAGATTGAAAAGTTTCAGAAATAGTGGTCCACAACTATATTGGGTATTTGTGAGAGACACACATATATATTCTTTGTTTTACATGGCAGAAAAAAAAAAATTTTAAATTGTTAATAATAATTAAGAGAGTTTTTCACCTTATCTGTCGTTTTCACAACGGGAGTGAACTCTGACTTGAGATAAGGTCTCCGATTGAACGGTGGGAAGCTTCTGTTCTTCAAATTTGGTGCTGTGAATTGAAAGAATCCAAATGAAAGAATCCAAATGTAACTGTCAAAAATTCCAATGCAAACTTAAAACAGTAAAGAAACTATAAACATTTTCAGGTATATATTTGATCCGATTTTTACGCATTAAAACGTTGATGTTATCGACAAACGATCTATAACAGTTAAAATTGCAGAGATTCATTAGAAATCTTACTAAATGCCCTAGGAACAAATTTATTTACTTCTTTTTAACTCCGAAAACAAAATGTCTCGAATTTGTTTCGATATTTAGCTCACAAAGATGACGAAAATTTACAAGTAAAAACTGTAAAACCCTAGGATAAAATTTTCTCTCTCTAGTTTCTCTCTCCTCTCACTCCCTCTCTAGAAGACGGGGGGTGATGGTCCTGCAAACCGGCCAAATGGTTGCTGGAGCGTCAACGTCCTCCAGAGTAGCTGAGCTTCTCAGAGAATTAACGTAAATGACGATTCTGCCCTTGCTTTATTAAGAAAATCTGGGTGCTAGTCACGTGACGCCGAAATTGTTGGTTTATTAATACAAACCATGTAAAGCGTCACCTGACCGTCAGATCATAATAAAATCACGGTTTGACCGTGAGTTACTGGAGAGGAGGCAGATGGCATGACAGGACGGTAATCTAGGTTTGATCAGTACGATGAACGGTCAGGATGGTCCAACTCGCGGGTTGTCAGTGGGCAGCGCGTGAAGTTTGTTATCGGTGAGAGATAGCCTCACTGTCTGGTGAAGGTTCGAAGGCAACTATTGGCTTTTGTGAACGACATCTGTCCAATTCTAAGGTGGGATCTAACTCGCCTAAAGCGTGAAAAAAGAGCGACAGCGAATTCTAAAATTGAAGTTTAAATTACAATAAAATTAAGAGAGAATTAGAATAATTTCAAGTTTTACATAAAACATAAGAACGTTAAATATGCCCCAATTAAAACGTTCAAAAAAAAGTAAAATATACCATTATGTTTAAGTGCGCTCCCATATTTCTTTTTTTTTAAAATACTCAAATCTTTTTATCATGTAAATTCAGTATTACGTGAACAAATATATAGTACCACGTCAATAATCACCTGGTAGTACAGTTTTTATGTCATTATCCAATTCAATACCATGTAATGTTTAATTAAAACCAATTAATTATTTTTCATCTTTTAGCTCTTCGTATCACAATTTACTAACAATTATAGCCATTTGATTGATAATATAGCAGTTAATACTATAAAATGGGTATTTTATACATAATATGCTTATAATCCGCACACATAAATGATCATTGAGAAAATCCTTGATTGCTACAATCAACTCCTAATAATACTAGTATTTTCTAATAAATAATGCGATTTCATTTCTCTACAATAATTATTATTGTGTTATGATACTTTTGCTAATAATTATACATAGATAATTGTTCAAAATCATAATCTCTCAATATATACCAGGGTGTTGTATGATACATCATAATCAACAATTGTCTCCGTTTTATTAAATGATTACCATCAATTGATTAGGAAACTTTGTCTTTATATTTGTTTTTGAAATTTTAAAGAAGCATTATTCGCACTCTACTCTCTTTTTTTTACGTTTGTATTATAATCTTATATAAAATGACAATAATATCTTTAATTTTACAAATTAATAATTATTACTTTTTTAAATGACACAATTGTCCATTCAAATATTCTCTCCTTATCTCTAATATTTAATATAAAAAAATAAAAATAAAAAATTGAATAATATTTTGTTTCCACAACCAAAAAAAAAAATTATATTGAATAAATTCTCCTTTGACCGGGCCAAAAAATAATAATAATAATAATATATTTCTTTGTACAGAAAAATAAAGGAAAAAAGAAAAAATTTATTTGAAGAAATGATCACAAAAAAAAAAAAGAAAAAAAGAAAAAAAAAAAAAAAAAAAAAGAAGAAGAAGAAGTTGCTCAAGACAATTGTTGAGGTTAAACAAAATAAAAATCACTAAAGTTCATAACTGTTATGATTGGTTGAAAATTAATCACTAAAAGAATATAAAAGTATAAAAACTACATTTGTAGAAAAGAATTGTATAACTTATCCTAACCACTACAACTAATACTCATTGAAAAAACAAAGTAAATTGTTTTGAAGTTTTAAATTCACAAAACTAATTAATTGACTCTAGATACGCAAATGATACTAATAAAATTGGGTTAAAATTCTCTTGACAAGCTATCACGTCTGAATGCATGACAAATACCCTCCAACAACCGTGCCTACTTCATTAGATGATTATTCAATTAATATGAATCCTAATATATTTCTTTAGTCGTTAAATTTTGTACTAGCATGAGGAACATTGAGCACTTCATCCAAATTTCATACTTGAAGTTACAAAAATGCCCTCCTCCATTTGATTAGTTGGGTCACAGATAGCTTTTCAATTGCGGTCCCAAAAAAGAATAAAAGTGGTAATGAGTGCACGTGCATCAACTTCCAAGGATTGCGGTGAGAGGCACGAATTGCCAAACCAGATCTTCCGCCACTGGGGTCATGAATCATGATTAATTACTTCTTGTGCCAATGGGGTCACGTATTACTTCTTGTGCTATTTCAGTCATTATTACGTTGTTTATCATTAAATTATTTATGCAATAATTTTACCATGCTTGTACAATAATTATATAACATTGATTATGCAATAATATTAACTATTTTTATAATATGGTGCGTTGTACTACCGATCTACAAAGTATGTGCTTCAGCACAAATCTCCCCTCCGAATGAAGGGATTTTAATTTTGAGTGCAGTCCGAATAACATCAAAAGTCTATAATTCGGCACTCGAATATACTGAGATCGTAATAATTCCATTCATTCATGATTAATTGTTGTTTTTTTATTAAAAAATAATGAAAATTTGTCCTACCAAATTATTTCATGAGATAAACAAATTAATTTCCTATTTTTTTTTATAAAAAAAAAATGTCACCGAAGCATAACATTCTTCATCATTAGCAATTTCAAAACTAATGTCCCAATCTAGCTTTGATGATCAGTCACTAATTTAATCATCCCTAATTAAACAAAGTCCATAAGAAAAACAATTCATCATATTTAGATTAATGTCACAGGTGAGTAAAAAGCCACCCATAAGCTTCCAAAATTCTGTTTTTTTTTTGGGTGAGTTTGTTCTTTCCCTTCAAGGTCTTCGATCTCTCTTTGGGTTTAGATAGCTAATTTATTAATCCTAATCGAATAAAGCCCATAAGAAAAACAACTCGTCATCCGTAGATTAATAATTCAAGTGAGTAAAGAACCACTCATAAGCTTCCAAAATTCTGATTTTTTATATGATTAGTTTGTTCTTTCCCTTCAACTTCCAAAATTTGAATAACAAACTTACCGTTGATTTGATCTCCTGTCTTGCCCTAGACATTAGATGGGCCATTAACAAATTAGTTCAGTGCAAATGCCACATGCAAATTGAGCTTTTTGTGAAGATTTCATGGAAAAGGTCAGATGGTTGAATTATTAGCATGTCTATATTGCCCCCATTAGTATTGTAGCATTGATAATGGTGATTACATGAGAAGAAAGAGTCTTAACTACATGAGTATTTTAAGATTAGACAAACAATAAGTCAAAGACAGAACCTTTTTTGGTTCTAGGTTGTAGGAGGACATGTTATGCACATTCATGGGAAAATACGATGAATGCTATTCCACAAAAGTTTTGTTGGTTCTATTTAACTTCGTTGAGAAAAATTTATATTGTGCTTGTTGTATTGTGAAATGAGTGTATTTGGACCGTTTGTGTAATATATATATATCCACGCTTGTATTACAAACATTGATAATAAATGGTTGAATGCGGCCGTTATACGGTGCAACGGGCACAATAAAGTTTTTCTCGGCTTCGTGGGTTAGGCTCTCCTAAAATCATGGACAGGACAATTGCCTCCCTTGATTTTTTTTTTTTTTTTTTAGTAATATACCCTTATAATTTGTTCATTTTCAGTTATATACCTATAACATATTACCATTGCCCTATGAAATTTTGGGTTCGTCCCTGCCTAAAATAGGAGAAAATTTTAATTATTTCAGTTGTAGTGATGACATGATATGACTAGCTTATTAAATACTGACATATAATAATTTGACCTATTAAAATAAAACAATTTTACTTATGTAATTGTATACAATTAGTTAATGGCACGTATAATGAAATATTAAAGGTAGAGGGAAGCCTTTCTCCTAAAACAGATATCCATCTACTTATTTTCATAATGAAAAGTACATTAGTATTACTTGATTGTACAACATTGGACATGACAGATCCCATCTTAGACGTGCAAGTGTTGGGATACGTCAATATGATACAACATGTGTGATGTTCTACTGTTGTACATGACAGATCCCATCTCAGACGTAGAAGTATTGAAATCTATCATATGCGATAGATCATAAGTGATGTTTTACTTAGGATGTCAACACGTCGATTAGAAGGTTTATCATGCCGTGTGTTAGAATGGTCATTTGTCTCACATCGGATCCGGATGGAAAAGTGATTGGGTATAAATAGGTGGATATGCAGCACTACCCAATAATTGGAGCTTTTGGGTAAATGGACAAGCGTCCACCTGTTACAGTTAGTATCAGAGCCAGACACAATCCTTAATCCGGTGCCACGCTAAGAGTATGACCCGGAATGCGTCCGAGTGAGCCACCCCCTGATAGGCAAGATGGCCTGACTGCAACGAGGGTGTTACGAGTTCAGGTGGGAGAAAATGTTACAAGGGTCATTTGTCCCACATCAGATCCAGATGAAAAAGTGATTGGGTATAAATGGGTGGGTATGTAACACTACTCAATAGTTGAGCTTTTAGATAAATGGACAAGTGCGTTACACCGTGGTACTAACCATCACAATTGGTTGGTATACGACACTTTTCGGATGGATGAGAGAAATCTAATTTATTGAAAAATACTTTTGATGCTAATCTACAAGTCTTGTGGACCTTGTGGTCTTGCTACATTGCCATGGTTCACAGAAACCTTTCGTATTCATGAGGCTGCCCTTAAATACATGGATCCACCCAGTCTGCACAATGGAAGCATGGTAGATTAGATGGTTTCATTACATTAAAAACATGGTAAGAGGTGTTTTCATTATCAAAGCAATGCATATGTATTTGGTGTGTTCGGTGCATCCGCCATATATGACAGTCATTCGTGTTGTACTATGGACGTGTGTTACACAGGCGTGAATACAAACGCACGTGTGAATACGAACGATGTACCGAGTACAAAGTATATTTTTTCCAAAGCAATGATGAATGCTTATGTGTAATTGGATAGTAGTCATTGAAACAAAAAGTAATATATTTAGAACCTTTTATTTTTGTAATTATAGAAAGA